CAGCAATTGTACCTAATTATAAAATTAATTAACTACTACCACTAATATGTAAATATTCTTATATCCTTTTAGAGACAGTTAGTGTATAGTATTTTAATATTCTTAGATTAATATTCTTAGTTAGTGTATAATATTATATATTCTTAGATTAATATTCCTAGAGTTAGGGATAATATTCTTACATTAATATTCTTAGTTAGTGTATAATATTATATATTCTTGGATCCTTTTAGAGATAGTTAGTGCATAGTATTTTAATATTTTCTTAACTTGTAAATATAAGCGTAATTCAGCCTATTGGCTGCAATGTTTTTATGAAATAAACCATCTATCTTTCTATCTACAGGGTGTCTCAGAAAAGTAGACAGTTTTGAAATGACTCTCAATTTCACAAATCTGTTCGTGTCATGAAATTTTTGATAAATATAGATTGTTTGGGTATAATGTAGAATAAACAAAGCAATTTCGTAAAGACAAATTTTCCAGAGCAGGAGGTGTCTCTTTTAGCAGCATTAAAAATAGCTTGCGCGCGAAATTTAAAGGTTGAAACGCATTTTGAGCTCATGGGCGAAAAATTTGTTCTGTGTTTTATTAATGGTCCATAATGTTTTTACAATCACAAAATGCAAATTAGGTAAATGCATGAGTTATGCATGCGTGAAAGGCATTGCCCCGCATTGGTGCTAAAAAGTGAAAGTTTCACCAGCTATTTGAGGGACTTAAAATTGAGCAAATTTTCTGATATTTGGACCATTAATAAAACACAACAATGTTCTCACCCATGAACTCAAAATGCGTTTTAAGTTTTAACCTTTTGAATTTCGCGCGCAAAAACTATTAAACTTTTGAATATCGCGTGGTAAAACTAAACTATTGCCTTTTCAGAAATTCTACACTTTGGTGAATTTCGATTCCTAAAGGCCCCTTTTAGATTCGCAAATTTTTGCTGCGATTTTCTTCTTCTGATGGATGTGAAAGAGTGGATATGAATGTTGAGATGAGGGTACATATACTCAGAACATTCATAACTCATCTACTCATTCACATCCATCAGAAAACCACAGAATCTAATCTTGAAGTGTCTGTGTCAGTGTAGGTAGTGGCAATAATATGAACAAGCTTTCGTTGCTAGGGATGCAACTACCTGAAAAACATAAGGAGAATTTCGACGTTTCCAGCGAAGGTCCTTGGTCTGGAGTTACTAGCCAAACTCCCGATGTAGCGCCTTCGCTCGAAACGTCGAAATTCTCCTTATGTTTTTCAGGTAGTTGCATCCCTGTCATGAACGAAAGCTTGTATACAAAATTTAATCGCTCTTTAATAACCAATGAGGTCAATTCCACGTTTTTAATTCATTCAGATACAATTTAATTCTCAGATGGTAGTTTTTATAATACTTCTAAACGCTTTTCTGTTATACTGGTAACATTTCCTGATTACGGACCACGAATTCTACGCAATGAATCAATTATTGCCTTCGCTCAAAACGTCGAAGTTCTCCTTGTATTTTTCAGGTAGTTGTATCCCTATCAACCCAAGTTTTGTTATTATTGCCACTACCTACACTGGCAAAGACTGTTCAAAATAATATATGCACCCTTGCACGTCCCTAACATACTTACTTTGTGAAATGAATAAATGTTTGGAGCAATGGTATTGTTTTTTATGAATCTAGAATTATGAATTGAATTTTTGGGGGCTGTTTTTGCATTATTAATATGGCATTGCTTCTGTATAGTTTTCCTTGGTTGTGTGCAGCGTATGGGCTGGTTGGTCGAAACAAAAAGATCCCTCGTCCACATTTGTACCTCACAGTTAAAAGAAGAGTGAAGAGATCGTTCGTGCGACGTGAACTTGAAGAGAAATTCAAGTGTGACGACGCCAAGGAACACTTTGAACTCCTTCGAGAACCTGAAAGAAAACTAAAAATTAAATATTTGGGTCTCCTTTCAAGTAAATTGAGATGTAAATCATCTTCTGTCTCACCGACACCTGGTGGTGGTGTATTAGCTTGCAGTAACCCCAGTTATATTGCAAGATACTCGCCTCAATTTAACAATGCATTGTCTTTATTAAATCACTCCTTTTCAAAAATAACAGTGAATCTTTAAAGTCTAACTATAACAAAACAAGATAACGTATCCATCACCATGTCCTCTCAAACCGCTGGCTCAGGATCTCCTTGGCGTCTTTTTTGTTCACTCCTCGATGATGGCAGAGCCAGAGATTGTTGTAGCGTCGGAAATTGAAGACAATCCTTCACATCCCGAAGCATCCAACCATGAAAGTCAAGTTGAAGGTATGCATCCTAATCCCGGTCAACTCGTTCAGGCTATTGTGGCCGATCGAGGCTTTATTTCCATGTTATCCTCGGCAATATTGTCGAATATCGGCCCACAGTTGAATAAAAGTCAAGATGACTCCAATATAAATAGGGCAGTTTCAAGCCCAATACAAACTGTAAATCCCGGAGTATCGGACGATCAAACGGGTATGTTAAGCAATCAGATAAATCCCGGAGTATCTGACGATCAAACGGGTTCTGCAAGTGTTAAACGGACAGCAGAAGTTTCTGCCGACTCCGAAGGCGAAGCCATCATTCCGTCAAAGCGACCTCGTGGTCCAAATACATTTGACGAAAGCGCAGAGGAAAATGATGTCGAAACTGTCGTGATCGACGACGAATTTACTTCCCCTAACTCCCGTTGGGAGGCTAGTGAGGAACTGAGTACATTTCTTGGTACTACTAACAAGCGAATGAACAAATTTGATCGTAAGACTTTGGTAAAATCATACCCGCGACCAGATGTCGACGAGGTTTACACGCCTGCCATGGATGACTTCTTGAAGCCATTTATTCAAGGCATTATGGCTCCTGATAAACCCCACAAGGATTTGCAGGACAATATCCTGGATATGTTTGGCTCACTTTGTACCATATACGAGAATTTGTTGGCAATGTTGGATAGTATTGGCAGTGATGGGATAATTCAGATGGATAAGACAAGTGTCAAAAGATGCAAAACGTCAGCTCTTTGGACCTGGGTTTGAGCAGAGGTTAAAGACCCGGTCAGAGACTGCGGATACAATTGCAAAGGCTTCCAAAGTGGCTACTGTTGGAAGTGTGAAACCGTTTTTTCGTGGGATGGCCTTAAGGGGAAGACCAACATCTCGTGGAGGCCGCCAGTTTCAATCGACCAGACCATTTCGCCTGTTCTTCCAACGAGGAAGGGGTTTCAGAGTGAGGGGAGCCTCAAGACACCCACAGTTCCCAAGGTTCTCAAGCCCTCAGCAACAATTCAGAACCTCATTGCATCAATGAGTTGTCGCCCCAGCAATCTACCAGCAGGTATGTTTTTAAATTATTTTATAACCAATTTACTGCCAAACATTCCTCCGACAGGTCGGCTTGTATTTTTTCTTCCTGTCTGGAAAAGAATAACACAAGACCCATGGGTCTTGCAAGTAGTACAAGGGTATCAACTGGAGTTGTTATCAACCCCAGTTCAGCAGAGTTTGCATCCTCCCAGAGTATCTCTAAGTCATGAAGCAGTTCTGAATCAGGAAGTGCAGGCCTTGCTAGACAAGAGGGCTGTTCATCAGGTTCAGAACAATGACTCAACAGGTTTCACAAGTTCTTTGTTTGTCGTTCCCAAAAAAGATGGAGGGAACCGCCCGGTAGTGAACTTGAAACCCTTAAACCAATTTTTAATGTACGAACACTTCAAGATGGAGGGGATTCACATGTTAAGAGACCTCATAAGGGAAGGGGATTATCTAGTAAAGATAGACCTCAAAGATGCTTACTTGACAGTTCCAATTTGGAAAGGTCACCAGAAATACTTGCGCTTTCTATGGAAAGATACAATGCTCGAGTTTGCATGCCTTCCCTTTGGACTGGCCACAGCTCCCAGGGTCTTCACAAAATTGATGAAACCTGTGGTGGCCATGTTGAGACAGAGGGGGGTGCGCCTAATTATTTATTTAGACAACATTTTGATAATGGCGGAGTCAGAAGATCTAGTGCTCCACCAAGCTGCTTCGACCCTGAATCTCCTAGAAAGTCTGGGGTTTGTAATCAACTACAAGAAATCCCAACTTGTACCAAGCCAACAGATAGAATTTTTAGGTTTTCTTATAGATTCCGTAACTATGTCGCTCCAATTACCAGGCGAGAAGTTACGAAAAATCAGGAAGCAGTGTCGGCAATTACTAAACCTAGAGCAGATCTCACTTCGCAAATTATCAAAATTCCTGGGCCTGTTAACCTCTTCTATCCAGGTGGTATTTCCAGCCCCCCTTCACTACAGGCACCTTCAGAGGCTAAAAGATGTAGGTTTGAGCACCCTGAATTCATACTAAGCATTAGTCATGCTCAATCCTCAAGCAAAGGAGGAAATTGTTTGGTGGAGAGACCACCTTCAGAGTTGGAATGGCCGGGCACTGTTTCACAAGCCAGTGGACTTAATTATCGAAACAGATGCATCCCGAAAAGGTTGGGGGGCATATTGCGAAGGGGTAAGTACGGGAGGCCCTTGGTGTGCAGAAGAAAAAAGGCTTCACATAAATTGCCTAGAGCTTCTTGCAGGGTCCTTTGCCATCAAAACATTTTGCAAAACCAAAGTGGTAGCACATGTCAAACTGCTGATGGACAACACATCAGCAGTGGCATACATCAACAAAATGGGAGGGACCCATTCCCAATCATTAGCCAATTTGGCAATAGATTTATGGACATGGTGTCTCGAGAACGAGATTCAGATGTCAGCAGAACATCTTCCAGGGGTTCTGAATGTAAGAGCGGACAGGGAATCCAGGGCAGTGATAGATCCCAGCGACTGGAAATTGAATCCAACCCTGTTCCAGGCACTTTTACAGAAATGGGGGCCCTTGGAGGTAGATCTGTTTGCGTCTCGACTGACATGCCAATTACCACAGTTTGTTAGCTGGAAACCAGACCCATAGGCCATTCAAACCGATTCCTTT